AAACAAAATAGCAGCTGGATCTGACATGAACGCCAGGAAGGAAGCGCCTCGACATGTTTTCAGCTATGTGCTTCCGAAAGTCGTGCCATGAGCTCACTCTCTACGGTGGGTCATCAATCTTTCTAAGCTTCTGAGCTTCTCCTTCGAGGGGCTTGGGCTTCTTCACGACCTGGACGACGAAACGATATGTCCAACTGGTGGCGTTTCCGCTGAGGGACCGCAATCACGAAAAAATTGGGAGCACGTTCTTCACGGCTACGCCTCACCCTCACCGCCTTCTCCTCCCGCCGCCTCTCCTTGAGCTCTCGGGACAGTGGCTGAAACTCTTTCAGTTTGACGATGTCTGCGACCATGATTCTGATCTTTTCCAGAAACAGCACGATTCGACCACCAATGGAAGGCCACTTTCTGTACCGTGAGTCTGTACCAGAACAGGAGGCTGGGTGCGTATAAGGTGCGCTCTCTAAGACATCGCTGTAATGATCTCGAACTAATGTTTCAAATCCGCGGTCCAGCTTATTAAGGAATCGTGCGAATTCTGCGCACACCTCACCCATTGCTGTCCATGCTTGGCAACTGTTGTCCTCATAAAGAAGCGGGAAAAGCAGCTGTGTGCCACCCGGTTGGAGGTGTCGTCACAGAGCAATTAACATTTGCCTCATTGACCCTCCCGAAGGCATTTCATCCGGCCATACTGATAATGATCGTGCTGACAGCTTTGGTCTCCAGCAGTTTCTGTGAGAGTAATTCTCAGCTTTCGTAGACGTGGACAGTCAGGTATTCTCCAAAGTGCACTTCTAAGTGCACTAGGCTGAAGGGGCTTGGTAAAGCAAAAAGCTATCTTGCACGGCTGCGCTGGACGTGCTTGCCACTTTCACGTGCTTCAGCATTGCTAAAGCTGTAGTAATGTAGGCCCCCACATCGTACTTGACCGTCAAGAAGAAGAGCGCTGGGTGTTCAAAGCGCCTTCCCTGTGTTCCATACAGCGCTTCGGAGTAAACGTGACAGCGGCGACGATGTGCCTGCATTGCAAGCGCAAGTCCATAAGGGGTCAGATACTGCGAATTTTTTATCCGGAGTTCTTTTCTTTCGTCTTTCGTCTCCCCAACATT